TGAAAAAAAATTAGTTTTAACAGTTTTAACCAGCAAAAACTATTTTTGACAGAAGCAGTTTGTGAAAAGTAGTTTTCATTAGTCAAAACTAGTATTGACTGAAAACGGGTTTTAACTATAACATATAGGTACATGGCATGCGTTTTTGGCTACTTACGGTTAATCCAAAATCCATCTTTAGGATGTCCTGTCTCATTGTTTTCTTGCATTATGGTAATATTTATGTGCGGATTATTTAAGTATCCATTGAATATTTTGAAATCTTGTCGTCTAATGTGGAATCCTACCTGAGAGGAATATCATGTGTGCAAGACAAGCTTAGTAGGATGAATTGCTATTAATTTTCTAACGAAAGTGTTCGGAAAGGTTACATTTACTAAATGAGTTTAGGAACCCAATACGTTTTAACTATTATTTTATTTTAAAGCAATTATATTTTTTCACGTTTAATTCATAGGTTTTAGAAAATAATTTAGAAATTCGAAAAAGGTTGTTAAAGGTTTATGTTTGGAGCACGGCATTGTACGGGTGCGAAACATGGACAGTGGGCGCGGCGGAAAAGAAAAGGTTAGAAGCGTTCGAAATGTGGTGTTATAGGCGGATGATGAGGATATTGTGGGCAGAAAAGGTTAGAAATGAAGAGGTTTTAGAAAGAATAGGAGAGCAAAGGACTCTATGGAAGTCAATAAAAAATAAGCGAGATAGATTGGTAGGACACCTTCTTAGGCATCAAGGTCTAGTCAGAGACATATTAGATGCAGAAACAGGAGTTAGGAGGGGTAGAGGTAGACCTAGGTGTTAGATTACTGTTCGCAAATAGTTAAGGATGTGGGCTGTTCTAGCTGTAGGGAAATGCGAAGTTTAGCTCAGGGTAGGAAAGAGTGGAGGTACCTGTCCGACCTGTCTTAGGACTGACAACCTTATGATGATGATGAATTCATAGGTTGGAGTTGTTTTTGTTTTTGCTTCTAGATTAAGTGTACAGATTTTTAACTATATTTAACTGGAAAAGTCTCTTTACCGGTGTTAACCATATTCAGAAATTGTTTTCGAGTAATCTTCTTTTTAGATGATAAGTTTTTTCTTAGTAAAAGTGGGCAATTTTCTATCTAATATATACGTATTTCCTCATAAACATATTCCTTAAGTACTTGCCTATATAAAATATCACGAACGGATGAATTAGTGTGGATGATCAAATTATTTGTACATAATTGACTTATGTGTAATGTAGAAAATTAAGAATAAATAAATAAAGTAAAAGGAAATTGCCCTAATTACGCTAATTAGTTGTGTATTTTGTATGTTTATATGTATAAATATTTCTACAATAATGTAGGTTTGCAAATAATCTACATAGGTTTATGAATTATCATCGAAAGGTAAATAAAAATGCTATGATTAGGAGTAGAAAAGTTTATTGAATTTATTTACATGATGGATGGTATTATTTTTAAATTGGACAGAAAACCAAAGATTAAGTATTTTGATTGAAAATAATAAATTAAAATTTAAACTGAAAGGGATGTAGTACAAAAACCGCTTAACCCCATTTCCCTGGAAAAAATATTCAAATTGAAGATAGTTCATATTTTTTTATACCTGTAGGTAGCAGGTACCTACTACGATATGATTTTAAAGTTTTCAAATTACTTACATCCACCGCCTCCATATCCGCCACCGCCACCACCTCCGTATCCGCCTCCGCCTCCGTATCCACCTCCGCCTCCATGTCCTCCACCACCTCCTGAGATCTTGATGACTTTGATAACTCTAGCACCGCCGCCACCTCCATGTCCACCTCCACCTCCGTAACCACCTCCAAATCCTCCTCCGTGACCACCTCCAAATCCACCTCCGTGGCCTCCTCCGAAGCCACCGCCGCCTCCATAACCACCGCCACCTCCAAAGCCTCCACCACCTCCTCTAAGGAATCCGGCTAAAAAAAGAAAATATTATTATTGATACCTATTTTCAAAAGTTATAAGCAAAATCGATTAAAAATTCGGTCAACTATCTGTTTTATTAAAATTAAATGTGTTTTAGTTTTTATCAAAACCAAAGCCGCAAGATATATGCATTCGGAGCCTAGAGACTTGGAAATTGAATCTATTTTGGTATCCCGGCTTTATTGAATCAAAAATATATTGGAGGTTCAGAATAATTAAAAGCGTAAAATATTGTGTTATTACATACAAATCTGTTG